ATAATTTCCAAGCCATGTGGTTACAAGTTACAACTCGTGCGCAATCGACCTAAATATAAATAATAGTAGGTAATATAAGCAGATAAAAATAAGTTTAAAAAAATTTTCCTTTACCGAAATATAATTACATTGGAATTATATACACTAATTGTTTTAACTGATACGCATATCTAATAGGTCGGTATATTGTTTTGTATTTATGCATACTAATATAAAACAATATAATATGAAGTTAATCGAATGTTGTTGACGCTATTTTTTGCAGCCGTTATGAAAGTGACCAGAGATTTTTTCATGTACAAATCAGGAATTTACAAATGTTCGAATTTGGCGTCAGGATCGAGAACAGGATACCACTCGGTGAGGATCGTTGGTTGGGGTGAAGAATACCAGGGCGGCAAAGTTGTCAAATATTGGGTACGCTAGACCGACGCGACGGCCAAATCGCAAATAATTAAAATTAATTAAGTATTTTTTTAATCCAAAAAGTAGTTTAATATAGTATGTATTATTAGTAGTATAATATATCACATAATTAAAAAAAAAAATTAAATATTAAACCCTCTCCCCCTTCCACTTTAAAATATCTCTTACTAGTATTTTTAGCTGGTTACTGGCAAATAGTAATAAAATAAATATTATCTACAATAATATAAATAAATACAACGGTTTTATTAGATTTATATTAAAATTATATCATTTGTTCGTAGATTGTGTCAAATTCCTGGGGAAGTTGGTGGGGTGAAAACGGATACTTCCGGATACTGAAGGGCGTTGACGAGTGTGAGATTGAAGATTTCGTCATCGCTGCGTGGGCGGACATTGATGACTTTGATGTGACCGAGAATCCGCTGGGATATGACGTATTCCTGCTTAATGGTCCAAAGTCAAATTCCATCTGAACGAGTGCCATGGTTAGGTTATAAGTTCGCAGTCTGAAACAGATTGGAAAAAAATTCTACTCCTCAGTATCTACAATCATGCTGGACAAAAAAAAATGAATAAACCTACATATACATATACATATATATATATATATATATATATATATACGTACGATGGACGAAAGTAGACAACAAATAAATTTATATACGAACATCGTTCGATATTTATAATCGCTTATTATACAATAATATATATATATATATTAGATTACCATATTTTAAACATGCAGATTTGTCCACAAAGTGATTTAAACTATAACTGAATCGCACAAAAACATG